ATTCACCGGAGATAAATTGTTAACAACCGATAATAATGATTTCAACGAAGATCAGGAAATGTTTGAGATCTTAGGTAGGCAGGCTCTGGAGAGGTTCATGTTGTCTAGTGTAACTTTGTTTTGGAATGAATTTTGACCACATAAAAATTTAAACAGGGCTCGTCCCAAAAGCGGCAAATTTCAATCAACCAATTCCGTTGCAACAGTAAAAAAGGTAAAAAATATTACCGAGTAATTTACAACTGATGCAGATATTAGGAGTAGTAGCATTTTACATATTTAATAATTGTATTTTTATTTTATTCTTTTTTTTTTTTATCTATTTATTACCATTTGCGGGTTGGTGACGCCGCGCGTCGCTTTCCAATACCAACCCGATCAATAGTTGGTTCTTGAAAAAAAATGTTCTTGTTTCTCATTCAACAACTTCAACATAATTTGTCTTTTCACAAGTATCTTTTGAAAGCGACAAATAAAAAAATTTTCAAGTGCATAGACAGGCGAAAACGCATACAAATATATATTAATTAATAGAAGTTTAGCTTAAACTTGTTATACTGTTTAACAATGGTACTTTTTGTTAATTAATAAAATTAACCTTCTTTCATACGCTACACCATATTTGGTAGCTCTAACAATATCGACCAATAATAGTGGACTACTAATAAATAAATTCCGTCGCGTTGCGTTGTTAATTTACAAATAAATCCTTTCTCAAGCACAAACAAAGATGCCTCGATTTTCCCATGTAGAAACGATCCTAGGATCAACAACTTATGAAAAGATTAGCAACTGTCGTGTCTTAATGGTTGGCGCGGGTGGGATAGGTTGTGAACTTTTAAAGAACCTGGTCATGTCAGGTTTCAAACAAATTGAGCTGGTATTACTTTAAAGTTCTTTTCATTTCCATTTTTGTTTCATTTACACTGAAAATGTATAGAATTGCATTTCACTTTCTAGGTCGACCTGGATATAATAGATCTATCTAACTTAAATAGGCAGTTCCTGTTTCAAAAACAACACATAAAAAAATCAAAGGCGCAGGTATTTCTTCCTATTGCCATGCTAGTAGTTATTCCCCGTTGCTTCATTTTCTCTGAGAGATCTACTTACTTATTTTGCAGGTGGCCCGTGAATCTGCCTTAAAATTTAATCCAAATGTCAACATCATTGCACATCGCGCAAATATTAAGGATCTCCAATTCAACGTGGAATGGTTTAAAAGCTTCGATATTGTAATGAACGCTCTGGATAATCTTGGTATGTTTGGCAGTCGAAGCGTGGTTTTGTTAATGATTGGAACTAACGGTACTTCGATACCACAGATGCGAGGCGTCATGTGAATATGATGTGCTTGGCCGCAGATGTTCCACTTGTCGAATCGGGATCTGAAGGGTACCTTGGGCAAGTGACCGTTATTAAAAAAGTAACTATACGTTCACGTTTGTTTCTATTTGTGCATTATTAAGAAACTTACATACATACACCTTATCGAATTAGGGAAAATCCGAATGTTACGAATGTCAACCAAAACCCACACAGAAAACATATCCAGTTTGTACGATTCGCAGCACTCCAAGTATCCCTATTCACTGTATTGTTTGGGCAAAGAATTATCTTTTCGGGTATATATATAATAATATCTCATCCTTGATTGATTTTTTTTTTTTTTTCGGTTATTCTTTTGGGATCTAATAACTGCTTCAGTCAATTATTTGGAATACCCGAAGATGACGAAGGACTGGGCCAGGAAGTTACAGAAGAAAATGGTGAGGCATCTTCTTGAAAAAAAAAGAAAACACTAATATCACATCCCACTCAATTTAACTATAATGAATGTTTTATTTCTACTACAGCCGAAGAAATTGCGAATCTCAAAAGGGAAACACTGGAGCTCAAAAACATAAGAGAAGCAATGGGCTCTCAAGACTATACTAAAATAGTTTTTCAGAAAGTATTTAAAGAAGATATTGATCGATTGCTAATGATGGAAGACATGTGGAAAACGCGGAAGCCACCGGTGCCTCTTATCTATGATGATATAGAGAAACTCAGAGACGAGACGGAATCTCAATCGAGTACCGCCGAGGATAATCATACATTAAAGGATCAAAGATCATGGAATCTTGCCGAGAATTTTACCGTCTTTTTGGATAGGTCTGATATCAACACTGAGTGATGTTATCAACCGTTATCTCGTGATGTGTGCATTAACTTTTTCCATGCTTTTAATTATCAGTGTTCGAAGATTGAGTACGCGATTATTAAACGAAAAGAAAACAAATCCAAACGCTTCACTTATATTTGACAAAGATGATGCTGATGCCTTAGACTTTGTGACTGCGACATCGAACTTACGTGCGAGAGTTTTTGGAATCGAGGAAAAAACAAAGTTCCAAGTAAAAGGTTATTTATTTTTATAATGCTTTGACTTACCTTGACTTATAAAAATATCTCACTTTTTTTTGGTTGTCTCAGCAATGGCCGGAAATATCATCCCGGCAATTGCGACAACCAATGCTATTGTTGCGGGATTGATTGTGATGCAAGCCTTTAAAGTTTTAAATGAAAAGATAAACGAATGCAAAACTGTAAATACGATAAGGATATTGTTCATTATATCGGTTTTCATTATGTTTTATAATTATACTTATTTTGTAGGTATATTGTGCACCCGAAAGGCGACCGTCGCCCATTCTATCGGAATCTCTGATGAAACCTAATCCTGATTGTCCTATATGCCAAAATACACATGTTACTTTGAAGGTAAACACGAAAAAAGTCACTTTACGTGAATTCATCGAGAAAGTTGTGCAAAGTCAAGACGAAGGAGGAATGGATATATGTGAGGCATCAGTGGAAGAAGGCGGAAGGTAATGATTTTATACTCTTATCATATTCCGACCTAATGGACAGAATTTAACAGTTAAATTTCCGATTTAACAACCAGGATCATTTATGACGTTGACTACGTCGATAATCTTGATGCTACATTTGAACAATTGAAAATTACGGATGGAAAAATGATGAAAGTTACACCCGATGATGATGGAATGAAATGCCCTGCGATCTTTGCAATTTCTCACAAGTAAGCGTTTGACTATAAATGAACATAGTGATATTCATTCCATAGAAACTGACGATGACTCATTCTGAAATTAGAGAAACATTTGAAAGACCAGGCACGTGGTTTTATGTTGACGGTAATCCGAGGAAGCTTATCAAACACAAACATGTTGAAGAAAACTTCACCTCTAATTCATCTCAGCCATCCAAGAGAAAACGTGATGATTTAGAAATCGACTCTCAGGAGACTTCACAACCACCCAAACGACTTGCTATTAATGAAAAGGTCGTTGTCAAGGATGATGATATCATAATGACAGATGAAGGTGCACAGGAGCTGATCGTTCTGGATTAGGATTATCAATACGTGGGTGTTCATAGACCACGAACAATACTTTTACATCTGGTTTACATTTTGATACAATGAAATGTTAATGTTCGATATTCGTACAGTGCAGAGACTATGTCATCAATGTTGATGATTCAAGCTAGCTCACAAATGTAAATCGTCACCCGATCGAAAGTAATCATCTTCATATAAACGTCATGTAATAATAATTGCTTTATTACGATTGTTAGTGTTTAGTACAAAAAGAAAATTATTTGCAATCTGTTGATCGATCGATCACGATTTAACAAACGCAAGAAGTGTTCATTACGATAAAGCAAATTATTATATACTTGAATATTTTTCCAGTTGAGACTCCTACTTTAAATAAACAATGATTATGATAGAATTTTTTTTAATTACGTATTTGCTGTTATATTTTTAATGGAATATACAATATCAAACCAAATTATTTAAAGTTAATGAAATATGTTTATCCATATTTATATCTTTAAATAATAATTTATGAACCAATGTCTGTTAATTCTATAAATTAAATAGGTTTATAATAATTTTTATAAGAAACATTAGATATTATAAGAAATGAATTATCAAACCATCATTATTTAAAACCTGACATTTCAATATATTTTATATCTTTTAACAATTATTATAACATTAATTAAATAATTATCGTGTTATAATATCTTTTGTAATTAGATCATAATTTCAACATTTATTGAATTAACATATAAATTGACTTTTTATAAGAAATAGTACTTAATAAATTATAGCATCAAATATTATTTTTAATTTAATTCAACTGCCTTTATTTAAAATTGAATTTATATCTTATAATTTGAACTTGAGAGTATTAACTACTATACATGTGGCATAAATTATTTTGCTGTTGACTCAATTCTCAAAATCCTCAAAAATAATTGTGTCATGACTCAATTATTTATATGTTTTAATAGTGACTCAATTAATTGCATCAAATAATTGCGTCAATTGTGTCAAGGATCTACAAATTTCAGCAACATGTATATCTATTATTAAGTACTTTATGTTTTTATCCTTTTCTATAATTGCTTTAACTGCTCTTTATCTATATCAAGATTATTACTATTACTATTAATTATTGGGATCACAAGTGTTGAATGAATTGTTATTTCATTAATATTGAAGATTGTAATACCTATCAGAGCAAGTATAAGTATAGGAAACTTAGACTTAATTCCTATTATCTCACAAAGTCGATTTCAGATTGCCTTAATGAGATATAATTTACTTGTTCTAGCAGTTCCCATTATAATGATTCTTAGTAGCTCAATTTGATAGCCTGTGAATATGCTGTTATAATGGAATTCTATATGCTTAAATATTGTTTTTTTTTTTTTTTTTTTTTTTTTTTTTTTTTTTAAGTGAAACGTGTACATGGTATGTAATTTTTATTGATACATTTATATATCCAGACAAATATCAAGTGTCTCTACAAATTAATTAGAAATCGGTTGATACAAGATACTCTTTTATGTCTCTACAGTTAATCTGCATATTAATACCTCCTAGTGTATATATTACTATAAGACTAGTTACACTAACCACTATTACCCAACTATGTGTCCATTTAAATATCTCGAGGATGTATTCACATGTCAGGCAAAACTTTTGCAGGAGGGAATCCTACCATTAGTTTAAACCTGCCTAAATCTACTAATCCATTATTGCAGGAAGCAAGTTATTATAGAATATTATTATAGAGACTAGGTGGGATTGAATCCTAGATCTTCTCCTAATGATTTATGAAGCACTACCACTGTGCTATAGACCTATAAGTCTTTAAATATTGTTATTTTTTTTCTATTTAAAGTTTGATAATCTATAATAAAATTCTTGTTTTCTTTTAATTGGTTATTATTGAAAGCTTGATATAAGAAAGTAGTAGCATTTAGAAGATTAGTATTAGAATATCATTGTTTGGCATCATTAATCCAGTCATGATTCCAATCCATATCACAAGATCCCATATCAGAAGAATTATCAATAATTGCATTTGATCCCATCTCTGTTAATAACATTTAATCAAACTGGAATTTGTCTTGTTTATTGTCTTCAAGTTCTTTTTCTTGATTTTTATTATTAATAGTTTCATCTTTGTTATCTATAGGTAACCCAAGTAAGTCAATTATATCTGTGTTAATCTCATTATAATGATAGTTATATAATATTGATTATGTAATAGTTCCATTTTCAGTTGGTTGTTTAATATCTCTATATTAAACATGAAGAAAAAACTTTACATGACAAAATTTCTCTCATTGAAAACTATTGCATAAAGATAACAGATATAAAAAGATATATACAATATTTTCATGCTTACATTTATTCCAATGATTATTAGTAAGTTTATATGTTAAGTTAAGTCAAAATAATGAGAAATTCTCAAATTTAGTGGATCAATTCCAGTATATTGTTAAGGGGAATTGTGCAGTTCATCCAAGATCACTAATAAACTCTTCACTTTCTTTATTACCAATTTCACAAAGTCATCATGATGCTTCTTTGTTAAGGTTTAATGAAATAAATGAGTGACTTGAGTGATAAAGGAAAATATCAAAAAGAAGGTGACAGATTTCCTGAGCAAAGATATTACACTATGTAATAATAACTTTTAAACTGAGAAAAGTAATGAATCATTAGGATTGCTATTACAAAGGATTTGATTTAATATTTCTGAGAAAGTTGCCAATTGCAATTCAGCTTTGCTTGCATATTTGAAAATGTATTGCAAGGTTACATGGATACTTATAATTGGCTTTAAATCAATATTTGCTTGTCAATCCTGTAGCTAAAGTCTACTGTACAAATTAATATATGGATTATTTCTTGTTATCACAAGCTCTAACTGTTTATGACTATTATTATGTACTATTGTATACTCGGTATTCTCCTTAGAATATATGAATCTGCAAGATTGTTAATCTGCTTAATTAAAACAAAGACAATATGAAGGACTGTATCTTGTATGTTATTGTAATTTATTAATTAATTTAATATAGTCATGTAAGTCATTATATAGCTTTTCTTAATGCTTTTGGCATGAATAGTGATCAAAAATAAATATATTGAGCTCTGGATTTATTGTGATAACCAGGCTATCTAGATATTTTACAGTACTACTTTATTTATCACATTCTTATCTTCTTTCATTTGCATCCATTCAATTGCTATTGCACTTCATTTTTTTGTGATTTCATACATATGGATGTTACCACAATATTGCCATTTGTATCTATACCACTATTTTACTAAATTCCACTATGTACAATCGTTTTATTTTAGGGTCACCAGTTTTCTTCTGAGGTTGTTCTTCTTCAGGTTGTTTCTTTTTTGCTTCTTGCTTCATTCCCATCATAAGTCAATCATGTATAAAAAATATATCACCTATTGTTAGGATTGTTTACTTTTATTACCACTTGTTTAAATTCTTTTAACTTGTCGATCTTATCTTTCTGTTTTTGTATATGTAAGTATCTTTAGTACACTAATTCTCCAACTGTCATTTCCATTGCAAGAATGATTGTAATAATTATTTCTACTGTTGTTGTTAAAAATATTCCTCCTTCTGATATTGCTGTTGTTGTCACTATTGCTACCAATATCACCACTGAATTAATTATGCTAGTTGTTATTGAAATAAATGTTGTTGTTATTGTTATTGTTGATAGGAATATTACTGATATGCTCATTTTTTAATATTGATAAATTCTTTTTGCATTGTTGTATATCTTCTGAGTTGTTTCTATGTTGTCCAGGGATGCTCCTTCAGTTACTCTCTTAAGTTTTCTTCTATAATAATAAATGTATGCCACAAATATTGATATGATAGTGAGTCCTATAAGCATTGCTGATATTACTGTATTCACAAATTGTATATGTTTCTCTGTTTCGACTGGTGTCAGTTGGTTTCCGGTGGTTGTTATATTATTGTGAAATGGCATATGTATAGTTATTAAAAGGGTTAGTTGCAGGGGTACTACTTCCAGCGGCATTACTTCCAGCAATGTTATTTTGATATACTGGTTAATACAATGGTAACATAGTTTTTGCGTTTTTAATCAATTGTTGTTGGTATATAGTTCTGCAGTTTTCAAGATCTCTTTGTTGGTCATTAATTATTTGTCTCAATTTTTTCTTTTCTTTATTAGAGTTTCTGACTCTCTACTGTTGAGCTCCAGCTCCAGCAATTGCTAATACAGTTGTGACTGCTATGGTGATTAAGATATCTTTGATGTTTTTGGCGTTACTTACTCCTTCTGTGGCTTGTTGTGTTACTGTTGCAATGGAACTTTCTAGAGTTATTGAAATGATGATACTTTTAATAGTTGATGTAATGAAATTGGTTGTTTGCAATAAGATAGTTATGGTGACTACAGGGATTGTTATTGTTGCCTTTAAAGCAAAATCAATTCACTGAAGTTCTCATGTTTATAATTCATCCAGTTTTATACATGTTTTTTACCAATGATATCCATTCTTATTCCTCTTTTGTTGTCATCCTTTTTTAGTATTATTTTGTTATAATGTGATTAATCATTTGTTCATCTGTTCTTGCATAATCTTTTTTCTTCGTGTTACTCTTAGTTTATACAATGTCATGCAGTTGTATATATCCTTGTTCCGCAGATTTATCCATTTTTCTATATTTGTCAATTTTTTCCCAATAACGACTTAATGCATTTGCGATCTTATTCTTTTTTCCTTTTATGTGCTGAATGTCTAGATCAAGTAAACAAATCATATGGTACATATTCATCGTTGTTCTATCTATTGCAGGTATATTATATTTCTCTTTTAATATATCCACAGCATTTTTATTGTCACAAAATACTTTAATCATTCCTTGTATATACAATTGTAACAGATTAACATTTTCTTTGATCATTTTGTAAATTTATACAATTCCTTTCTTAATGTTATCCACTTCTTTTCATTGGGTTTAAATGTTCATCCATAAAATGCTA